TGAGTAGTGGTGACTAGCGGATGATTCGATTCGGACGAATTTAGTCGTGTACACAGCGTAGATTACATGAACCGAAATGCTAGGAAGCACTGCACTACTGGGTGATGAGTCAAACCTCTCAGATGACGCCAGCCAAGCGCCTCCGCGTTCCAGTTTGCGGGCTGGAAATCGCACTTGATTCAAAGGAATAGGTGTTAGTTGAGAAAGTCACTATCCAATGAAATTTACTCACTAGGATACTAAGGGCCTAGACTGGTTCCACTCATGCGACAGTTCATCCCAGTATTCACTTCTGGGTATGGTGACCGATTTATCAATTCATCTTGACGTGATTCGCTTCGTTACCCGGTCGACAGAGGTCTATTTTCGCCGGGTTCGTTCATTCGCATCTATGACGCACACATAATCAACGATCACGGACATAATGTTCCCGGGCGGAACAGGTGTGTATCGAGGGGAGGAAGAACGGTTCAGCTCACCCCACCGAAACGTTCATCCTCGCTCGGTAACTCAATCAAAAAGTACTCTTGTTTGTTTACGAGGAAGTAAGTTCATTCGGACTGGACGNGAAACGTTCATCCTCGCTCGGTAACTCAATCAAAAAGTACTCTTGTTTGTTTACGAGGAAGTAAGTTCATTCGGACTGGATGGGGTTTAGACACCCGATCTAATCGGTATCGTTTGACGACTGAAACACCTTGTGGGGTTCCCCAAGGAGTGCGATTGGTTGGATACACCTTAAGCTACAACGGATTCACTTGAAATTGAAGCTGAGGTATAGTCTGTGCAACACTTTTAAGGCTTTGTGCAATGATTATAAAGTTTGAATGTATTGAAAAGGTTACGAAACTCGGGCTATATGGAGGGTGACGAGTGATGAGGAGCTGACGCACAAGGAACTACCTGGAAAGATTAGACAAAATTTCATCTTGCAATTTGCTGTTTGGAAAACCGTTGAACAGGTTGGTGAAGGTTACTGAAAGCAAACATAGTAAACCCCAATAGCAATGTCATTCGCGTCATGTTTTGGTATCAGATCAGACTACTCAATGAGAGGAGCTTGTTCAATTTAGCTGTTTACTGTCTACGCTAGCCACAATGGTTAACGTTCTTTTGTCTCTCAATCAAGGTCCCTCTCATCTTAAGTCACACCTTTATATTCATTTTTTGAACATAGAGAGCTTTGTACCTCTCGACCAGAAAAGATTGCTTACCCGTGATTTGCTGTACAGTGGTAAGGAGAACAGCTATCGTGCTGGCTATTGCGCTCTTCCTCTTTTAGCATTTTGGATCGGGTTACCCTTGGGACATGGACAGACATGGTAGAGTAGTATATCCGTAAACTTTTAGATTAACCTAATATGAGTCCGGCTGACAATTCTACATTTTTCGCACTTAATTTGCCGTAAAATACTAGTCATCATTGGTGAATAGTGTACATAAACAAAAAGCACCCTGATTTGTACAATAATAATAATCTGCAATATCTCGACTGCAAATAGTGGTGCTCAAGTATTCTACATTACTCTCCTATCCCCTGCAATCATTTTGTACTTAACTGTTACAATTCCCAGAGCTTAGATCACCAGTTTCCAAAACTGAACAGTAGGCCTTCGTCATAACGGGGTGATTCTTTTTTCTTGGCACCACAGAAATCGGCACAAAATGGCTTGCAGTTTTTCAGTAAAAAAACTACTACGAGAGTTGAACAGATTAGTCTGTGAATAAACGCTTTTTGGAGTCTATGTGAATTACTACACCTTTTCC